AAAATTGGATTTTTAAAAAATCAAAAACCACAGGTTTCCAAAATGACGATTTTTAAAAATATTTTTCTAACTTGTCCTAGGGGGTAACTCATCAAAGTAGAGCCCTTTGGGCGAAAATTTCGTCCGTTTGGCTCTATCTTTAACCGTTTAGGCGCCACAGGGAGTTTTTGACGAAAATAAAAATGTACAACCCTGCATGCTCAGTCGCAGTGACGGATAGTTGACGGGCCGGAGGCCCGTATCTTTGTGTAGTACATTTTCCCACTATCCGACTCGGGTGTCAGCGCCGCAGGCCTAGGTAGATGTATGCCAGGCGCGTCGCAGCGCAACAGTGTTTCGTGAGACATCGCGAAGCCTGTTACGCGAGACGTGGTCTGGCGTACATCTACCTAGTTTCTAATTGGATCGTATTTGCTTTCTCCTTTACTTGTAGTGTGGATGTAGAACGTCTGAAACACACTTCAACCAACACTGTAAAACTTTAAATGTCAGTACGGGTGACGTACTGCTTGGCCATATGCCGTTTGTGCTTAGGTCGTTCACGCCTGGTATGGTCCCACCTTTACATCAAAAGAGTATTGTACGAGGTTTTAGGGTACTGCAGTCCCAAACTGTTGCACTCTCACTCTATACCAGATTTTGGCGCCGGAAGTGTGTAAGGTGATACCCTTACTTTACTGCACGGGGGATCTGGTGGAAAATCATTATCAGTCGATTCCGTCATAATCTTTTGCTGTGCAGCTCGCTTCAGGTTTACACAACCACTACAGCCCATGTGCGGCTGAACACACTGCCATTATCCCCTTTATACTCTCCCCACACTCCTGCTCCTTTGCAATGAGTTTCGAGGCGGCGGTGCATTCATTTTGCGCGCAATTTAATTTCGGATCGCCAGCGCGATAACACCCCCCACCCCTACGAACGGAGAAGGCGCTCTTCATCCCTCCATTCCCATCCAAACTCCTGCTCTCCCCCTCTCCCCTCCCAAAGCTGCACGGAGAAAAACAAAGCTTCCAATCACTCCTAAGAATCTTAAATTAATAAACTTGCTGCAACTTATACACATTTACTATGAAAGCTACCTCGGGCTGATTTTGACACGATTGTATGCGAAGCACAGAGATGATTTTAAAAAGTTCCACGGTAAACGCTCTGTACTGATATCAACTGACTTCAAGACGCACACACACACTCACACGTACTTCTATACCACAACCCTGAACCCTGTATACCCCTCGAGACTGCGAAGAAGCACGCTTCGTTTATCGTGCGTAATATTACCCAACTTTGGCGATGTGGTGCGGTCCTCTGTGCTACGGTTACTGAGAGAGAAAGAGAGTGCTGGAGACAGAATATAGTTTAGGTCGGCTGCCGTGGCAGCGCTGCCAAGTTTCATTACACCGCCTTGAAATAATGACACGCCATCGTCATAATCATCATCGCCACCCCAGCCCACCCCCCATTCTCTAAAAAGGCTGGATGTGGAGGGGGAGGGGGCGATGGGGTCCTGTCGAGTAAGTCCCCAGAGCCTCAGAGGGTCAGCCTAACTAGACCGGCGCCCCTCCGGGCCACTGCAACTGGAGCACGCTGCGATACTAGGTCAAACGTTCTCATGAATGACCTGATGATTTTCTTTCTGTAAGAAGGGTTCTGAAAAGGGGTTGGCGCGCAGACGCGGGATCAAAGCAAAAAGTCGACAGCGAGCCTGGCAGTCAACTTGGTGAGAAAAGTTGATAACAATGACAACTTAACAACTGTTCAGCACTGTGTAATATGATCAGGGCTATCACGTTCCTCTTGATAGGGGATGCGGACCCCAGCAAGACGGATCCTTTCCGCCGTCCCACTGCTACCACTACAAGTAAAGGAGTGACCAACTACGATGCAAATAGAGCGATATTATGAATCTAATTTGACGACTCTTGGGAGAGCGATATTAATTACATCGCTCGTTTGGAGTAACTTTTCGCGACATTTTTGGTTACGAGTAAGACTCATTTTGAGTCATTTTCGCAAACGTCGCTAGTTTAGAGTCGTTTCTGCGACATTTTCTGGTACGAAGAAGACTCATTTTGAATCATTTTCGCAAACGTCGCTAGTTTAGAGTCTTTTCTGCGACACTTTCTGGTACTAAGAAGACTCATGTTGAGTCATTTCGCAAAAATCGCTCTAACAGAGCGATGAAGCCTATACGTTGCTCTGTTCGGGAAAGAAAAGTCACTCTACGTTTTACAGTAACTGCTGCCGCAGTTAGAATACTACGTTATTTAACTTATCCCATCTATTTAATGTTGATATAACGACAAAAAGACACTTGGAGGTATTATAAATTAACCGAAGACCAAAAAACAACACGATACAAAAGGATTGGCAAGCAATCACTAAAAAATAGTTGACAGTTTTGCGAGAACATTTTTCAACGTGCCGCAGAATGAGACCTGCGCGGCGGAGCTGCTTCTAGCTCCCGTCGTTAGGGTGCAGCACTTTCTGAGTCCACTATGCGAAATACACCAGTCAGGTGCGCCAATCTGATGAATCATACACTTTTGATACCGACAATAACTTAAATAAGATCCTTTTTCAATTGATAGTACGACTTGATGTAGTTGCAACATCTAACCCCAAAGCACTATTTTGAGCGCACGATTTCTCATAGTAGACTTGGAGCAAGCTGCACCGTAGCGGCCGGAGCTGGAAGGAGCGATGCCATTACAATTTAAAATGGTGAAACTGCAAGCCAACATATCGACTTGGGTGTCATCGACAAGCAAGATTGGGTCGCCATGAATTTACAACTAATCACAAAATACGTCGTCAATTTAAGACGACACTTTTCACAGTGATCAAGAGTAAAGGCCTCCTTCAAAACACCTCTACATACTGTTAAAAGTAGTCTTCATAAAATAAGCATTTTTGAGATGATACACCTTTTCAGCATTCAACACGTTGAGTGCCCGAGCGAATTGGGGGGATATCGTTTTCCAGGCAAGCCACCATGTGGGGCTCAAAGTGTCAACGGTCTTCCCGGGCATTATTTAACCCACCGACATCTATCAAACTCGAGGCCATTCTGCCAAACCGATCTATTCATTTCACAGCCTGCAAGCTTTACGTAGCACAAATTAATCGAATAGAAATACTGTTCGAAACGCACAGCGTTGAAGAAAGGGGACAAAAATTCATTATATTTTCAGAAAAATTTATTGTTTTAGAATGGTAAGCCAAAAAAAATGTGATGCGTAATGTTACATTCTCCCTACTGGTAGACGGGTCTTGGTCACACCGGAAGAGCTGAGGTCAAACAGACAACCTACAAAAAGCGAAAAAGAAATACTTTAAGATTAGTAGGAACATTACTGGAGCTGGAAAATGAAGTAAGGTATGTGTGAAAACAAAGTCTGCCCACGTCACTTACATTTAAATTTTAACGGTAGAGGTAGGACGAGCCATAGCCGAGGCCGGAGTAGGCGTAGGGGTAGGCGCCGTAGCTGCTGTAGGCGGAGTAGGCAGGGTAGGCGGCGGCGGAGCGGTACAGTCCACCGTAGTTGCTGTAACCCGCATAGTAGGGGCTGGCCAAGTACTGGGCCGAGGCCACAGCCAGGATGGCGAAGACGAGGAGCAGGGACTTGAACATGGTGGCTGTTGGTGTTCGGTCTGGAGGACTGATGCCCAGTGCCGGCCGGCGGGGGCTTATATACACCTAAGATCAAAGTGTGTGTCTCTGCGGAGATGGTGCAGGTGGATGGGAAGGGGCAGAAGTGGGAGGGAGGAAAAGGGGGAAGTCAGGGGGAGTGCGTCAGTAAGGCAGAGTAGGCGTGGTCCACCTAGCCGCTAAACCAATGTAGGCGCACATTAGACTGTCGAATCTCGACCTAACTGTACATGGAAGATGTACGCCAGACCACGTTTCGCGAAACAGGCTTTGGGATGTCTCATGAAACAATGTTACTGTTCGCTGCCACGCGGCTGGCATACATCTACACGGAAAAAATGTATTATCTCGTGCAGCTAAACATCAGCTGGGACAGGTTATGTGTTTGCCGGTGGCGTGACAGCATGTGCACTTTGCTCGTAGAACGTAGGCATTTGTTGTTACAACCTTTTTCTTCAAGTTTGAGAAACAAGAAGACTCGCGTTCGGTGGCTAAATGCCTCTTGGTTCGCAGACCTTAACTTCTTCATTGGGTTTGTTAAGACAGGCTGCGTCCAGCTGCGTCCAGCTGCGTCCAGCTGCGTCCAGCTGCGTCCAGCTGCGTCCAGCTGCGTCCAGCTGCGTCCAGCATCATCCGGAGATACATCTCAGCTGAACTAGGTAAGATTAGCTCCGTGAACTAATCCTCGGTCACTATCCTAGCTTGTCAGGGGTTAATTAGAGCAGCTTACGCGTGGCCTAGACCAGCAAAGTTCATTAGCTACAAGCTCTATATAATGCACAAAATTGAAGGTCGAATTTTAAAAGTTCCCTCTTGACTATGCTTTCCCTATCCCAGTCTCATCGTGCCTACTGGGTCAGTGCCTCCGAATTGGCGCGTAAGGCTGAGGACGAGGGTTCAGCACCGACTTAGGTAGCTCCTAATTCGTTATTGAATAAAGCGTTCATGGGGTGAGACACACCAAAGGGCTCTTATTTAACGACACAACACAAACATTACATCGAACAATAGTTTTAAAATAAGGATTTTTTTCGGCCCCGTTGTTTTTTTAATTTTTTGAAAGGTCAATTTTTGAAAAAGAATCGGCTAGAATGCTCATCTTTGAAGTCTTTTAAAAATACTAGACGACATTGATATTTTCAGATCGTGAGCTCCATTCGTAAGGAGTTATCGTGACTGATCGTGCGGACCTCGGGGTGAACACACAGACAGAAACAGTAGTTTATCGCAATTAGACTTCGCTATCGCTTTGGCCGTCAATCAGCCAATAATAAACAAACTAAAACCACACATTGTGGGCCCTGGAAAAACAAAATTTTACTCCCTGCCTTCGTTAAGGCACATAATTTTCTAAAAGCATTTCACTTTATCACCTTTGTGTCTTCTTAGCGCTTTTTTAGTGCTTTCCCTGTTTTTTACTTAGTGTCTCTATGAAAGCAAAGCACCGAGGGGTGTGGGACTGGTCAAAATATGTGTACATCGGGAAAAACATTCAGAAACAATCATGACGCAATCGGACACAATCATGACACAATGTTTCAAAATAAGTCCCAATATTTTCCCAACAGCCTGAAACAGAGACAATCATCGTCACAATCACTCACAGTCTGAAACAGTGATTGTCGGGACCAGCGGTCTCAGACAGCAGACGACGCGCGGGCCGCACGGGTGGGACTTCTCGCTCGCACTCATGCGGCCCCTCATAGCACCATCTCTTCCCCTCCGGGCCGGTTGTGGCCCGCTGCCGCTAGTCTGAGACCTCTGGTCTAGACACTATCGTGTGTACCCTTTTTTGGTCAGTTTCACACTCCT